CCCTTGCATCCCTTGCCTCCCTTGCGTCCCTTGCCTCCCTTGGGTCCCTTGCCTCCCTTGGGTCCCTTCAGTCTTTTGGGTTGCTTGGGTCCTTGGGTCCCTTGGGTCCCTTCAGTCCCTTGGGTCCCTTCCAAGGGACCCAAGAAAAAAAAGGGACCCAAGGGAACCAAGGGACCCCAGGGATTCAAGGGACTGGTCCCTTGGGTCCCTTGGGTCCCTTGGGTTTGTTGGGTCCCTTGGGTCCCTTGCCTCCCTTGCCTCCCTTCCCTCCCTTCCCTCCCTTCCCTCCGTCCGTCCGTCCTTCCTTCCTTCCTTTCTTCAATTAATGTTAAAAATATGTCTTTAGAAAATATGTGTGTTTTTCTTATATTTCTATGCGTTTGAAATAGATTATGTGTCTTTTGATAATATGTGTTTAAATGTGTTCTGTATAATAGTTTATATGCATATCCAATTTCATCTGTTTCGCTCCACGATGCAAATCCTCGCGTTCTCCGTGGCCTAGACATGTCCGAACGAAGGATTTCAGCCAAATATGGGATGCTGCGCCGGCTGCGCCTCGCATCGTTCCAAAGAAAAATGGCTTCTGCGCCTCGCATCCTCCTCCTCCTTCGCTTCGTTCCCTTCTGCCGCTTCTCTCCGTTCCTTTGGACCTAAGACGACGTCGTTTGGACCGGCGGCGTCGTTTGGAACAGGTGGTTTCGCTGGTTCTTGGCGCACCATGTTTGAGGAGTGTTCTGTGCAAGACATGAAAAAATAAAATCCAAATGGTCAAAAAAAAGACCCATGTGTTTGCCTTTGCCTGGCCTGTCGGAGATCTGCCCGTCGTGTAGTTCACGCCTTCCAGTAAAGGCGGCCACTTAAAGAAGACAAAATAGAAGGTGTGGTATTGCTGGTGTGCGTACACATCGTCAAATCTTGGCAGTTGCATCTGGTCTCATCTCGTCAAATCTGCATCTAAGTGGTGGACTCCCAGCATAGTGCCGCCGACCTCGCGTGGACGTGCCAAACGGTGCGGCACTGGTCACAGGGTATGCGCGTATGCCGTCTTGCAGCCGTACTACGCTGGCCTTGTGCCAAGGATGTGCCAAGCGTGGCACCTCAGTCTGCGGTAGGTGTTTCACGAAAAATGCAAAAAAAAAAAAAGCGCAATGGATCTCAGGTCTTTGGGCCGTCACCCATCTGTATGATGACTGGATTTCTTTCACCACTCTTGTGCATCTGTTGCTGACCACTCTTGTCATGTCCTTGACAGTGGAAACCTGTTGTGTGGGTACGATGTTTCATTAACAACCACGGTCCTTGCCCAACCACCCCACCGATATCGATATGTATTTCCAACAAAGACCAAAATGACCAGCAGCTGAGGCTCAGCCTCTCCATAGAACGACCAGAATCCTGCCCTCTCTCTCCCCTATGTTCTTCCAACAGCAACTTCCCTCCTCCCTTCCAACTTCACTGGGGTTGTTGCCTGGTCAAAACCAAACATGTTAAATTTACCTACTGGATCTCTTCCAACCAGATGACCTCTTCCAACATGCTCCTTCCCGGTCTCGTTTTGGGATCCCCATGCAGCTGAGGCGCCTTCGGACCTCAAAGCGACCACGAAGACCGGACGCTCGACCGGACAAGTGAAACAGCTGACAGCTCTGAGCCGCCGGGCGCTGTACTCCCCTCGCGCCTTCCCCTCGGGAACAGCACCAAGCTCCACGACTGGTTTGGGGTTTCCGGTGCTGTGCGGTCCGGGGTTTCCGGGCGTTTCCGGCTCCGGGGGGAGGGTTCTCTTTGGGGGGCAGGTGGTGAACGGCCACATTTTCAAGGCGGATTTCTGATCCGTTGGGCTCCAAAGACTTCTGGAGCTCGAATTGGCTGGTTTTTTTTTGCACAGACGGTGTGAACACAAAGGGATTTACCCGTGTTTTGTGGCCAACAGGATCTTTGGTTCATAGACCCACCAAATGCCTTCTCATCACTCTACCGCAGCTGGAGTGATCAACACAACAAAACCTGATCAATTGCTGACTTCGGGATGGCCTTGGTAATACGCCACAGTCATAAACTCGACGCATGGTGTCACCTGGGCAGCCGGTCCGCGCCAGTCGCCCTGGCCGTTGCTTGGCCCATCGATTTCGCCCCTTCGACTGAAGACCGGAACGCCCGGAGTCGCTGCGACGGACGACGCGTGACGGTCTTGGAGCCCCAAACTACCAAGCATCTCCCAGGCTTCCTGCGCTGCACGAAAGCGGGCCTGGCCGGCGGCAAAACAGCGAACGCTGCGAAGGATGGAACGTGGGTGTGACAGGTTCTGTATCAAGTTCAGTCAAAATGGTCAAGTGGGAGTGATGTCCACCACCAGTATCATCATCAACATCATCATCATCAACAACATCATCATCATCACTGACTTCTATTGATATGCGAAAGCCGCGATGCTTCAAAAAGGCGCTGCCAAGCGGCTGCATCACCACCTGACCTTAGAAATGTTGGAAAGGATGCTTTTCTTTTCGACCAAAGTCGCCCAAAGCAGCGAAGTTCTACTACTGCAAAGTATAAAATGCCTAGCAGAAGGTGTTGGAGGTTTGAAAGGTGTCACAGAAGGTGTCTTTTCAAGAAAACGGTGGAGAAATGTTCCCCAATCGGAAGATTCAAAAATAAAACTCTCTCCAAGTCCTCCACTTGTCAGGATGCCAAAGCAAAAGAGTCTTGCGGTATGCTTGTTTCACCTGGCAGTCAAATGCCCAGTAGAGCTGCTCAGCGACTCTCTGCTTCAAAAGTTAAAGGGTGGACGACTGTATCCGACATGTCCGACCCTTGGGAAGATTTGGGAAGTGTCCAAATGCCATAGTGCCAGACACCAAATTGGTTGTACACGACCCGGGGGGTCATATCCCCTCTATGAATCAAGCAAGTCAACAGAAAAAGGCCATCGGATTTGGACGAGAACCGTCCATGTTCGTCAAAAAAGAATCGTCCAAAGGCCCTGATATCTTGACCCTCCTCCGCTTGCCGTGCGGCATGGTCTGGATCAGGAGACTCGTTTTTGAAGTCGCTTGGAGGCCACGCGAAATCTTGATCTGGATTTGCTACAAAAAGTCTCTGACAGCTTCCACATGGCACATTGCAGAGTTAACACCACGAGCCTCCGCAGCACTTGCATCAATGGGAACCCCCAAGGCCCTCAGGAGAGTGTTTGACATGCACGTTCCATGAGTTCCATCGTGCGAGTCTGGGCTCTCAAAGAATGTCTCGGAGACTTCAGTATGACATATACGCAAGCACCTTCATGTCGGGGACACCTGGAAGCCCCTACACTACCTAGTAGGGATCTCCAGACAGGACACCCCGACATGAAGCTCCAGGCAACAATTCATAAGAGTGAAATGTTCGGAATGGACCGATGCTAAAAAAGGACAGAAAGACCCACGTTGTAAACGCTGAGCATCCTGTTGAATCCAAGGGACACTCTCCTTCGAGTTGTGGGTTTGTGTTCTATCGCTCTTCACATTGGGATCAGAAAAAGATGCCAAAGGATGATGGTGTGCTGCTACTGATGTAAAACGACAGAAACAAATTGCCGAGGAAAGATCTAGAGAAACCAACAAGATGTGGACATGATATGTTTCATCCCGAAGCATGCGGCTGTCGGCCATGTGATGCATTCATGTATCCACATTACATCAAATGTTTTTGAGGGTGCTCGGCTTCATGTTTAACTACCACATTAACTATTCATGCAAGACAAGATTTCCGATTTCATCTCAGGCAAGTTGCTGGTAGTGATTCTTCCTGTTGGGCTGCACAGCCCAATGTCGAGCAATGCGAAGCCAACCTAGAACGACGCGAAGCTAAGCGAGGCAAATGAACTTACTTGGCCTTTGGCGACCGCCCACTCTCTTCAAGGTGGTGTAAAGTTCACTCCCAAACGAATGGAAGAAAACAGATTGGGGGAGACCTGCGAGACTAATCTGAACCCTGTTGGGCACCAGGAAGGAGGTGATGGAATGCCATGCATCATGTCATGCAATGTCATGCGTGGTGTGGCATGGTGCCATCAAAAAGCTTTCATGTTCTCATGTTGTCTAGTCCCAAACAGCTTGCGAAACAGAGGACTTTCCACACAGATTCGCCTCTCCAAGTGGTGGGGACAACGTGGAAGGTCTTTTGGGTTGCAGGGCGGGCATGCCAAATCAGATCACTGCCCCCACGCAAGAACCACCAGATGCGTAAAATGGAAAACTCTGAGTTCTGTTCTCACCGTGGCTGGTCCTTTTCTCTTCTCCTTCAGTCTGAGCTTGCGGGCTTTGTAACTCCGCCTCCCGACCTCGAGACCGACGGTCGGGGGAACAATTGGGGCCTCCTGTTCGACCGCCTTTGAGCACTTAGCGTTGGGGAGAAAAAAAAGACATGAAAAGCATTGAAAATCCATGTGCCAATGGTCACATGGAGTTGGGTGGTGTGAAAAGTCCCTTCCAGTGGATGTGACGTGGCAGGGCACCCCGACGACCTTTGAAAGTCCGCAGTGGACTTTGTCGTGTGCTGTTTTGCCGGGTCATGCACCCCCGTCGTGTCTGCAGCTCAACCAGCGCCATTAATGTGAGCAAAAAGACCCTGCTGTCCGCCCTGCTGTCAGCTCCGGTGCCTTCAACCTGCAGGCTCTTCAGCTCCTCCAGCGCTTTCTGGTCCTCCAGTACTCGCGGAAAAGCCCACATGGGGAGGTGCGGATGGGCCATGTGATGAGTCATCGTCATCGAGCAGGTCCTGCTTTTGCAGGGGGAGAACAAGAAAGTCAAACCCCCCAGAACCGTCGCAAATTTGGCGAATTGGATGCCGCAGGACGCGTCCTGGCCAATTTCCAGTCGAGCTACAGCCATACAGCCAAGCCTCAGGTGGTGCCAAAATGACTGACAAAGCAACTTGACAGTGAAATGTGGATATGGTTGGGAGTCTTCCTAAGGCACTCCCCGCGGACGCGCCTGACGCGGGGGCCTTGGGTCCTGGCATAGCTTGGAATCAAAGTCGGGCAACTCTTGAACCAACTGCTCCGCAAGCTTGAAGGCCTCAAACTCCAGTCTGGGCCGGGCCAAACGTCTACCGTTTCCAGAGGCCTGCCATCTCGACACTTACCGATCCAACGGTCATGAGTCAAAATAAGAAAGTTAACAGGCAGGTCAATGCTCAACATGCAAAGGGTCAAACACTACTGTAGTTCTATCAGAACAAGTCTCTATAGATCCCCAAGCACTTTGCAACCCTGCCTTCTCGAAGTCCCCCTGGCGCCGATACTGGTCTCTTTGCTGACCTCAGAAAGCTGTCGAAACGTCGTCGATTGATTGATAGGGCCAGGTAGACTCAGTGGCAGCATTCAGGCTCCGGCGCAGGGCAGCACAATCGACAGATCGATGCTTGGGCTGGCACGGAGGTCGCAACAGCCGGTTTTTGTTGGACGAAGATGATACGAGTCCTTTCCCTCCCATGGTTCTGACGAGAAGGCTGCCATGACATGTCCTAAATTGGGTACCTTGGCCTTCCAGTACACCTGAAGATAAAATGGTTGGGCGGTCTCATCCCATCTGCCAACCAAACAACATCTGAACAGAATCGTCCGTTTGCGCGCTTTGGGCGGTACCTTCTCGTCATCGGTGTCCAGCTCGATGACACACGGCGTCTCTTTTTTCATGGTCGCCTTCGGTGAAGCCATGGTGAAGCCAATGTGAAATGCAAAGTACCATATCAAATCCATATCATACCATATCCGCTTGTCACTGATGATCACGCCTGAAAAAGAATTGAAAGCAACATCTCATCTCTACCCATCCAAACCCGGCAGAGCAAACCTAGCTGCTTTTCACCCTATCCTCGTCCTTCACGTTCCCTTCCGCCGGGAACTGCCTTGGCGCCTTTGGGACGCCAATTCCGGCCGTTCGTGCTCGGATGGGCCGGCGCATCCGCTGGAGGATCTGGAGGCGCAAAAGAAAAGCGAAAGAACTCTGCGGCAACACCTGAGTTCCAAAAAAAAACAGGAATACCCCATGGAATACCCTGCCTTCAAATGTTTTGGATGCGAGGAAGAAATGCTCGCCCGTCTTCGATCTGGCTACTTCGCTGGGAAAGCTCTTGCCTGGTTCCTCGTGCTCGCGCCAAAGTGAAGGTGCCCAGCCTCGGGAAGAAGTGTTTTGAACGACAAAAGCCAAGCAGCACGAAGAAAGGATACAACAGTGACAGAGCGAGATGGCCCCACAACTCAAGTGAGAAGACGAATATCCGACCAAATCCGACCAACCATGAATCTGCACATGCGGGTGTGTATTAATTTAACTTAACATAGGGAGGGAGCCCTACCAGTCCGGCCTCCAAACAATAGAGGTTCGGAAAATAGACCAGTCTCCCCATTCCATTGAGTGTCTCCCTAGAAATGCACACCCCATGTCAAGTCCCAAGGTCTGCAGTTCCTGGTGCAATTTGTGTCGGCCCAAGGTCTGCACAAGCGGTACTGGCGTCATCGTTGCCTGCGACGGCAAAAGAAACGCCAACATGGCGGGTGCGAAACCGAAGCAACGAGTATCTAGGATGATCTGGGGAATCTGCGGAAGGGTTTGACTTCGAACTTCTCGCGCTGCTCGTCTGACGGATTCCTGACGAATTCCTGACTGAGCTTAGAGGGATTGGTCAGACGAAATCGTCCTCGCAAGTCTCAAGAACTCCAAAGATGAATAACCCCCCCACACACTTCAGGCCGGCTAAACCCTAAACCCTAAACCCTAAACCCCACACATGGATGGTAAAAAGCTCTTCAGGCCGACTGGTCTCTCAGGTCTCGCCTTCCTCCGACCGGAGGGCCTCCTCGTTCTGGCCCGTGCGGACGCCCGGTGGCTCGGTGGTGTGCCGGACGAACGGAGGGTGCGGTCGGGGTGCCCAGCCCTCGTCACATCCACGGCCCCTGGATGGGACTCAAAAGCACCCTGAGCTCGGTGGCTCTGTAACGTACAGATCTATTCTTATAACTATTAGGTGACTCTATTGTTAGTAACCAAGATCTATTCTTCTATTCTTTATTCTTCTATTCTTCTTACCACCTGAGTTCAGAACCCCATCTTCAGAAGGCGAAATGTGGACGAAATGCTCGTGACTCGTGACCAAGGACAGAAGCCGCCTCTTCCTTCGCAGGGTCTAGCTCCGTGACTGGCCGTGATCCACCAGAGATGGCCTCCACGGATAAGGTGCCAAACCCAAATCAAGAGCTTCTTCTCATGGCTCATCTCATCTCATCTCCAGTGGCCCAGTCGCTTCGGAACTACCTTCTCTTTCAAAATAGAAAAAAAAACTCCAAAGAAGCTCACATGCACAGAACACCCATCTGACAATCTTCGAGAGAAAAAAGCACCTTTTCCAGAAATCCACAAAAAAGAAACACCCGATGCACCCATCGGATCGGCGCCATCCCGTCGTCCTCACCTCGTCCACGGCGCTCCCATCGCACGTCCACGGCTCGACCCCGAGGTCGGCGTCGCCGCCTGACGCGACGTGCACGTTTCGCTCAACGCGCCGCCGCCGCCGCGACGACGTCGAGCGACGTGGACGCTGCGGTGGGGTTCGCGGTTCGGGGCGCCTGTGGCAAAGGAGGGCCAAGGCATCTGTCCACGCTCCGGGCTCTGGAAAAGCCTGCCATACCGGCGAAAAACATCGTTCACCGAAGTGAACAAAAGATGTCTGTGGCGAGTGAAGTCCTGAGGTGTCAGATGTGGCTTCAAGGATACTGAAGCACCCGGATCATCCTCTAGTGGCTTTATCTAACGACAGTGCGTGGATGGCTGGTCCTGTGGTACTGGTCACACAAGGCTTCGAGGGTTGAAGGAACACTTTCGAGGCTGCTCTGGGGCAAGGCATGAGCCTTCCAACTCTTCAAGTGAAGGACTGTGCGAATTGGATGGCGGTCGCTTTCCCTCAGAGTCATGTCATTCGAACACGTCACCACTAAGGACCTAAGGACCCTGTAGTGTTTCCTGGGTGTCTCAAACCATCGTCTCCAGGGTAGCCAAGAATGATTTCCGAGAGGGAAGCCTCTGCTTGCTTCTGGTTGGCCCGTTCAAGAAGTTCTGGGAATCTTCCATTTCTTTCTCAAGCACGACCGGGAAATGGCTGGGTCATGACACGCGAAGACCGAAAAAGGGCTACGACCTGACGAACCTGCGATCGGTCCCAAGGTCCGCTTCGCTGACCGCTAGCAGCTGCACGGGCTGCAGGTCTGGAGGCCCCATCTCCAAATGACCTCTAAGGTGTTCAAACGACCAATCGCTGCCTATCGGCACCTGAACCATCGCGCGTTTTCGGCGCCCAAGCGCACCGCGACACATGCGACACGCGAACTGGTTCGCTCCCAAAGCTGTGACAGGGTGCTTGCTGCTTGATGGTGTTTTTAAACTGCACCATTGTGATTGTAAGTTTCAGGTCCACATGGCTGCGGAAACCGTTTCTGAAATTACTTCAAACTCTTCAATGTCTGAACCCTGGCTACTAAACCAGCCATTCAGAAACCAATCATGATTCCTCAGAAAAAAGAACACCCTCCACTCCAACAGTCCGGCAGTCCGTCCGCCTGAAATCTTCCGGCGCTTCGCTGTAGCTGAGCCCAGGGCTGCCACTCACGCCTATGGACCAACGAACCAGCCCAGTCGCTCCACTCACGAACGAACATCCACTGAACGCCGTGCAGCCCCCCCTTTGGTTCGGAAGACCATGAGTTCTCCCAAGACCAAACATGGGGCGGTTCGAAACACGAAACCGTTGCGGGGAGATGGTTGCGGGGAGTGGATGGTTTGCTGGGCTCTTTCTGTCCTGTCTTTCAACCTTCCTCCAGTGCTTCCACCATAGGACTTCATCTAGACTCTTGACTCATCAAATACCCTGCAAACATCTGCAAACATGGGTTGAAACATCTCTTTAGGCCTGGGGGGTGGAAAGATCATCAAGAGCGAAGTATCCAGTCACATCGTTTCACCGCATCGTTTCACCAGGTCGCCGGCAACCAGAAAACCAACCGGATCTGCGGTACCGACGCGGTATGGATCTGCGAAGAACGAAGCGCCTGCCGCACCGATCTTGTTGGTCCCGGGGTGGTAGGTGGCCTCCCAAAACCCCGAAACGGAGCGCCGAAATGCCGAAACGAAGCACCGAAACGACGACGAAGTGACAGAAGTGTGACCCATCCAGCCTGTGAGGAGGCAAAGTCATGCAAATGTTGAGTGAAGAAGCGAGCAGATGCCAATACGAGGGGTCACATGGAGTTGGGGTGGTGTGAAAAGTCCCATCCAAGGGCTGTGGATGTGACGTGGCAGGGCACCCCGACGACCTCCATTAACTCGTGGTAACAGCTGACTTCACATCAATCGGCTGCTCTGGTCATGGCACCAGAAGACCGAAAAAGGGCACGACCTACCCGTCTTTCGCTACATGGTGGACCAAGCCTTCAAGTTTGAACCCAACCCCAAATGAGTGCACGAAGACCTTGACACTCCAACATGTTCAGATGGGCCTGTGACCTATTGAGAAAGATGTCGCACTGCAGCAATCTAAACAGGCCGCCTTGTTGTTTCCGTGCGCTGAGCTGTGCCCCGTCTCCTTCTGGCCGGCTTAGTTTCGCAGGCGCTGCTCCCTACTTTTCAAACGGGTGGTGTTTCCCAGTTGCTTTTGCAAGTAAGTAGAAGCCACACATCATACAATTGCAGCAACACTGCTCCATGCGGATTCCAAACCATCTACATACGACGCATGAAACATCGTTTCACGCCCCTCTCCTGCTCAACACTGGCCCAGTGCCTTGCGACCGCTTTGAGATTCGTTGCTCTTGACCACTACAGTGGTTTCAGAGTAGGTGGCACAATCCCAAAGTTCGGTTTTGTATAGGGACCCCCGATATCCGCCGACCCTGGCCGATGGGGAGTGCGCCAGAGATTTCTGCTGGCCCAGTTTTCGAGTGGAAATAGATTGGTTACGGATGTGGCGGGGCCGGGGGTGAGGCAAGCCAGAGATACAGATAGAGATAGATAGGTGTCCACCACCTCACGCAGCACCGGAATTAAGATTTGAACGGGTACTGGTCCAAAGCCACAGCAAAGGAGCTGTGCCAAATGACGCCATCACCCACGAAAAACATTTGGTGCTCAAATGGCGCGATAGCGCCGATCAAGCAATCGCTTTCGGACAGCAGTCAAGTGACGGAGCACGGCTGCATCATATGCTTCGTTATGGCCCGTTGGCCAACCTAAAACTCTTTGAGGGGCTCTGGCTGGACACATCTGGTGCAAGCAAAAGCTGTGCAGGCCCAGGCAAGGTGGTCCCAAGATGGAATCTCTTGAGTCCCGCACCATTGACAAGGTTCGATATCAACTCCCAATATGACATGAAATCGAGCGCCGGACACAATGGCACCGACGAGCGCGGCGCATCCATGGGTACAAAGACCACGATATGCTTTGCGCACCGTGACTAGCCTTGCTTCAGAGTAGGGGCACTCATGCGCCGCCGACACGTCCCTTCTTCCACTGTGCAGGAAGTCAAGAAAAAGTTTGCGTCTCCAAGGTTGAAATCGATCTGATTCTGAGGCACCGGCAGTTGGGGGCGATGCCACACTCACGCACCCTGCTCTCTCCAGCCAAGAGACTGCAGCCAAGAGCGAACTGTTCCTATGCGTCACCTTTGCCAAAAACGAAAAAGCTTGGTATCCGGCGCAAAACACAGGATTGATGCCATGTCCCCTGAGCAAGAAAAACAATTCGGGGGAAGCCTCACAATGACCCCCGCCCGACACATGTTTTGCTTTGGTGACAAGTTTCTTGGTGGGTACAAGGGAAACCCAAGCACCCCAAGATGCCTTGGGTATTGCCAGCGAAGCAACGAATTTTGCTTTCAAGTGATTGGAGACAGGAAGCATAGCAATCCTGTCAAGCCTTCGGGAGGCCTGTGCAATCCGAGAGTTCTGAGTAGGTCGGTCAGCCGACCCAAGCCTTGCAGTGAAATCAATGCCAAGAACTCGAGCAGAAGGCACAATGCGGCGCTCTTGAAATCCTAGTGCCAGCAGGCGAGGCATGATTGCGACAAACAAGTTTCAACTTACTGTCATTTTCCCAGAGTCCAACCTGACGGGAGAAAGTCCGCCAGTAATCACAAAGACGGGCGGCTTGCTCCGGGCTGGCGGCGACGAAGTTACGATCATCAAGGTGAGTCGCCAGGGTGTGAGGCGACCTTTCTTGCTGCTTGACATGCCTAGTTACACCTGACAAAAGGGCAAGTAAGGTTAAGGGGCTGACAGCATCTCGTTGGGGTAACGAAGTAGTGACTCGCACCGGTGCATCAAGGTATTCACCATTAAAGCTTAACCATCGTTCTTGCACCCAGATCATGGTCAAGGCATTGCATACCTGTGGAGGGCACCCAAGGTGCCGCAAACAACGAATTCCCAAGGTGGGGTGCACAGAAACAAGGATACCGCTGTTTTCGAACTTTTGCAAAAGCCTATCGACAGCAGTAGCCACGCTGTGGCCTTCAAGCCCCCCACAAGCTGAGGTGTCGATCCAAGACTTAACCCATGTTCTTGTGCTAGCTCTACGAGTCCAAGCAGACGCTGTGACCCTCCACTATACGCTTTGAAAAGCTATGGGGCGCATATCTTTGGCAGAAATAGCGCCATCACCTCGCAGCACTGCGTCCGGCTTCTGGAGGTGCACCTGCCTGGTGCACGACCAGACGCTTGGCACTTCACCCCTTTCAAGCCATGTATTAACCAAGCTTGCGAAGATGTCCCAAGCTTGTTGGGGCATGGCCGACACTTCTTCACCGCTCCAGCCGCTCAAACTACAAGAAAGCACAGCCGAATTGAACGCGTCTTCTGCTGTGTGACAGAACCAAGCCCATTCCTCCCTCGTGGTGGAGGTCAGAGGCACGGAAACTTGCCGCCAAGCTTCTGACAAGGCTGAGTTCCACACCATAGGCTCGACCTCTGCGGGCCGGGCAAGCGAACGTGTGGGCACCGCTTCGGTGGATTTGACACTTGCTTGAAAAGGGATTTCTTTGCAACCGGGTTGTCAAAATGAACCGGGTTGCTAAAAATCTGAGCTCAGATACATGATTGGACATGATGGGAGGGTGGTGAATTTTTTGGGCCAACATCTGTCCTCAACTACATGATGATGGTCAGGTGATGATTTTTGCCAAATATGGCCCCAACCACATGATGGGACAGCTGTGATCTTTGCCAACATCTGGCCTTAACTTCACTAATTATGGTTCGTTCAAGGGCCATTTATGGGCTCAATTTTTTGATTTGAATTTGGCCCATTGCCCAGTCAGATGGATGTCTTTTGAATAGAATTATCACATTGTTCTCGATCTGGACATTGGCGGGCGATGTTTTTGGACCTTTGACCAATGTCACTTGAGGCTACAGGGGTGTCATCATTCTCAATGAACCAATAATGTGACATCATGAGTTTAGCACTTGTTAGGCTCTGGAGCCAGTCATTCCCAGTTTTGGCTCTAATTTAACAGCATCAACCGAGGTTATCCTTCGCGCTCCCATTTTCTTGTGCTTTTTGTCAGGGGCACAACCATTGAAATTTTTGGTTATAGCCCAGTGGTCGATCGTGCCTTCACTTTCGCAATGCACAACAGCTCCGCTCACACCACAGCTCCGCTTCCCAAAAACAGACTCCATTTTCAAGGGCCTCACCCTCTCTTTCTCCCAAGTCATAGTCACTGGTTTTCACAAAAAGCAGCCCACAGGCTAGGGTCAGGGTCCGGCAGCAGGGACTGGCAGCCCAATAACTGTATAATATACGTGTTTCCTCACTGTAATCATACATGCCTTCATTCAAAAAACACCCTTCGTGAAACACAAACCTGGCAACAACTTCGCATTTTCGTGTTCTTTGGAAGTGGCACACACAAACACCAACTCACACACACAAAGCATACTACACGCTCAGTTCCATCAATCTTTTTTCAAGCTCTCACACCACCAGGCCAGTGGTTAGTTGCGATCAAGTCAATCCACGTTTTCAACAGCACGCGGCTCAGCCGGCACTTCAGGGTCAATGGCCTGAGGGATCTCTTCCTCTGCCCCTTCACCCATGTCTTCATTAGTGTTTTCAACACTTACTCCACCTTCAACGCCAGCGGATTCATCAGCTACTTGGCTCTCAGATGCCTCCCCAGACACAGGTCCACTGGTGCCTGAGCACGCTGCACCACTGCTGAAAAATCATGAAAAATCACCAACTCACCTGAGCCATGACTTTCCTTCTGCAACTCCGAGTACATGGTCGCCTCATTTGATACTGTTGGTGTTCCAGGATCGTTGAAAAGGATCCATGTTTTGAGTTCCCCACAACAACTTGCTTCGCAAAGTCAACTGAGTCTCCTTTCAACAGGTGCTGACGGCCCACTTCCTCAACAGTCGGTTTGCACGAGACAATGCAATAATGAACGTTTATTAAGCGCAGGACTGCAATCTCTTTGACACGTTCCAGCGGGACACCTATGCCCCCCACCTCGCGACTGTAAGATCAAACAATACGTCTCAAGAAAGCTCTTGTGTTTGAGACCCTGGCAGTGAAGACCTCACTCCCATTCAACTTCACTCCGTACTTCTGGCTGACCCCACGCTGGGTATTCCGTGTGTACAAGTAAGGAGGAGAAACCTTCAGCTCAGGGTCGCCTGCGACGCTAAGAATACTAAGACTAGAGCTTGAAACGGACACTGCTGCACATCATTGCCAAATTAACACAAAGCCTTCTTCACGACCAGTTGTGACAGTGTCAGCTGCTGCCGTTGCTGGCTTCTTGTTGGCAAACACCTTTGTTCCGCCATTTGCGGATGGACGCTTGAGGGCTGGCTTTCGGGGGGCAGGTGTGGTTTCTTCAGCTTTTGGAGTGGGCGCTTCGGGCTGTTCCTCATCAGCTGAAGTGGAGGCTTTCACCTTGGGCGTTGGTTTCAATTTCGGTAGTGTTTTCTTTGGCTCAGCTTTCGGGCCTGCCTTGGTCTTGGGTTCAGCTGTCGGTTTCGGTTCGGGCTTTGCTTTGGGTTTGGGTTTCGGCTCGGCTTTGGCTTTCGGTGTTGTCTTGTGCTTCGGGTTGGCTTTCGCTTTGGGCTTGGAATCACCGCCGCTAGGCAAGGCCTGCCCAATGTGAATTAGATCTGGGTTTTCAATCCCGAAGCCAATCGTTTACTCCGTTCATCACAAAGCAAACACTAACCACTTGCAGCAAACAAGCAATCACCAGTGTCCAAAGAAGTGACTGCCTCAGGGTCTGCTTCTTCATCGGAAAGCTGTGTCACTGGCCGAAACAGGTTCGCCATCGTCCAAGGCAAGCCTTCTAAAACTGAGAGCTCAAATCCCGCTGCAATCCAAGGGCGCACTACTGCTGGCCATTCCACGGTAGTTACTACCAACTTTCTGACACCAACTTCTTTTCAACAATCTGGTAGCCATCCTATAAAAAACAATCGACTGCGGTTGCGATGTTCTTCCATTTATCCGAACTGCCAGCCAGTGTATTGATCAGTCAAAATCAGGCCGCATATTGCAAGAACTAGATCTTGGCCCATGTGCCAGGCCCCAGGGTCAAATTCCCTGTCAAAAAAAGCTTCGGCTTCACACCATAGATCTTCGGCGCCCCTGATCCAGTGGCAAGTTGCACCTCCGCCAACAAACATCAGACGCAACCTGTTTAAGACACATGACAAAAAGGGTAGTATGCTGCAGCACTGAGGTACCTCCCACACGAGGCCAGCTCCAGCAACCACATTTGGGATAGCATCC